CGCAATTTTAAAAAAAGATTGAAAGCTGATCTCCTGCACGACCAAGGGCCTAAAGTATAAGCAAACCTCGCTACGTTTTAAAGTATAATGTCCCAGTATGTTTCTTTTTAAGTCGCCTTGTTCTTTTTTGCATGAATTGTGCTCTCATAAAAACTGCATTGGCCATGCTCTCGTATGTTCTGTTTTGTATTGCATATTATCTTTTTTTTATATATATATATATTTTGTATGAGTGTTATTTTTTTGTGGGTTTAGTTGAAAAGCAGCTTAGGCTGAACTACGCCTTTCATCATTTTATCTTTAATTTTTTTTTTCTATCCTCAAGTTATATATAATGATGAATAAAGACCATTTATTATTATTATTATTATATCAATGTAAAATGCATTATACATTTTTGGAATCAAAATTAAAACCTGTTCACGTGTTTAAAGATCCACTATGGCGCCAATAAGAAAAGATCAATGAGTGAGGAAAGAATATGAAACGTCGTATTTTTGGGAACATCCGGTTTCTTTCATGTATCTCCGCCAATACTTGGATTTGCGAAACTTTCTAGATGCCGTTTTCCTGGTTATTTCTTACCGTTTTCAAGATCTCAATGTTGGGAGGCGATTTTGAGATACCCACTATACTTTTCATAGTGTCTTCTGCAGGTTGCAATTTGGTATAGAATTCATCAGGATGTTGTTTTATAGAAGATAGGGTTACATCATTAATCCTCCAAATTAACTACGTTAGAAATATGACGAAAAGGGCCCTGTCGCTGGGATGAGTCACCTCTACCTGTGGTATTTTGCACATTGTTGGGGTACCACCTCACCAGATTGCCTTATTGCTTAAAAATACTATACTAGTAAGTTACAATTACAAACACTTGTAAATATGGTCAAATAATGTTTTGTTCCATATATCACCAACTGTATTTGTAAGAAACGTCACCCTGAAATTACAAGTGCAGCACTGTCTAAATGACATTCCGTGAATATGTTAATTTGTAAAAGTGTATTAAAGCACATAAATGATTTAATCGGTAGATTTAGACACAAAATAACAAAATCGCATACATTTTTGTAGAAAAAAACTAGAATCATTTGTAACAGACGTAGAAGTGCAGCATATTTGGAATACTACAGATAAGCTGGAATACTTAGGTATCTAAATAAATATGAATGCCATCTGTATTTTACTTTACCGTGAATATAATGTCGTAAATCACACGAAACTACAAGTAGTAAAAACAGGATGCCACCTTGACATTTCCTGCTACCAGCCACATGGGAATGAGACGTCCACTATCAAAACTTCTTCGGTAAGAATGCAATCTTTGATAATACTTAACAATGATACGTGAAATCTTCATTGAAATTATTTGAACTTATGTGTTCTTGTAAGTTTATTGTTAGTTTAACATTTTATTTCGATTCTGAGAATAGAATTAAAAATGTGACATGGAATTTTAAGTTAGGATATCGTGTCGTTAATTTGGATTAGGTACGCTTAATGTGCGAATTGTGGGTTTATGCTGCCTGTAGTGGTTATGAGTTCCGTGTGTATATCTGTGACTGTTGTAAGAGCAATAACTAAGAACACTGAATTTTATGTTAGAAAGTTGAGAAATTCAATAGTTTCTTACAAAGGTGTAAACGATTGTCAAATATAGGTGATTATAATTTGGAATACTATATTCCAAACTACCCGCACCCTAAGTAAATTTGCGCTTTTGGAGTTTCTAATTTTGGATAAATATGTATTTTGATGGGGTTCCTGGTTTTTGTTTTGTTTGATTGTCTACACGTTAAAATTTGATATTCTCCCAATAATTTAATGCTTTTTTATTTGGCTATCCCGTTTATCTTGCAACTTATTTACAAAAAACAAACCAGTATTCCAAATATGCTGCAGTTTCTCTATTTGAAATAACCAGAAAAATACTACAACTTGTGCTTTTGGGAACTTAAACATCCAATTTGCGAATATGGTCCTGAAACTTGTAAAGTATGGAGTAGTACTAGTATATTTTGTTTGAAACTTACATGAAACACACTATCTAGTATGATTACAAGTTAAAAAGTAGATTTACTTGTAATAATTATAGCATACTTTTTATGGAATAGGGCTCCAGGCTTAATTGTCTGTGGACACCATGACACTGCCGGAATCCGTAGAGTAGTACTAGTTCAATCGACGGAAAAGGATCTACCACCTACATATTAATATCAAGGGTACTGAAGGTAACCTGTATAACGCTTAGAGGCGTACGCATCGCATATAGGCCTCCAGCCACTGAGCCAAGAAGTTATCTAAGGAAGTCGTTCGACAATTCCATATCGTCCTTCCTACTGCTCACTGAACTCTTCATAGCTCTACCTTTTATAATCCACTAATTATGCACCGCACAGAATGGGGTTCGATCGTTTTCCCCTTCTTGTAGGAGTGCAGAAGATAGGGACGAGGATGTAAGCGATGGTAGATGTAAATATATTTCAGCCGTTGGCAGATCGGTCGCGTCTCCCGAAATGAGGAAGGAGGAGTAGCAGAAAAAGTAACGAGATAAGATATTGGAAAATCGCGGATTTCGTGTAACAGTCTTGGAAAAAGCTTCAGGTTGACGGCTGGTAAGAAAATAAGCTATCTGAAAGGGGAACCGCTCGGATTAGTATTCTGCTTAAAGTAACGCCAAAAGGAAGCCCTGCTTAAACAGGATATCTTCTTATGTGGCAAAGCGGAGAAGTTTTCTTTGGCGCTCGAGAACATGAACGAAATGATCAGGCTGATGACTCTTTCAAAAAAAATTACCAGTCAGTGAATTTTACTAAAAGAAACCCTTCAGAAACAATCATTCCTGTATTAACAGACCACTATGTCACTTTTCCTCTGATTTAAGTAACTGAAAGACGGTCATAGAAGAAACGCTTGCACAAAGTTTGCTATCTGTACATTATGCCTTGATTACATGTAACGAGTAAAGTGGCGAGACAGCAAAATATTACTAGGTCGAGAGAGTTGTACAGGCGAGGAGGTGCTCACACGTATCTGGAGCTTTTCTGCGAATCAGTACATTGTCGATTGGAATACGGGCTAGTGTTGCTAATAAAAATGGATCATAATGGATGTATCAAGAAATATACAAAGTTGCTCATACCACTTATGATCGAAGAAAAAAAATACCTGTTCATTTTCTTGAGCCACCTAATGTCTGAAGAATACACATTGCTGAGCCCAGCCCCTGATCTCTTTGAATCATTAACTTTGTTCAATTCTTGACTGTATGTGGATCTCAAAGCCATCAATCTCCACTTCTTGAACTTTTGCCACAATTGCGGCATCCCGTTTATGTTTAGTTTTGTAGTCTGTGGACTGGAAATTCCACAAACAAGAATGCAATTTGTATTGGTGGATGAACTGGATTATGGTATCACTGTCCCATTTATTCTTCGCCATATTTTGTTTCAAATGGACACAGCCACAATATAAAACTAGACAGAGTTGCTTTGGTTGGCGAGTAATAGCACACCGAGTGCCTGTCCAGCGACATACCGAGTAGGTAGGAGGGAAAGCACTCGGTCTAGGAAGTAGAAAAGGGTCCGAGTGACTGTCTCGCTCTCCTACTGGGTCCAGTGCTCGGCCGAGCGCTCGGTTACGTGTCGATACTAATACCTTGATTACATGTAACGGGTACAGTGGCGAGACAGCAAAATATAACTAGGCCGAGAGAGTTGTACGGGCGAGAAGGTGTTCACACGCATCTGGAACTTTTCTTTGAATCAGTGCATTGTCGATCGAAAAACGGGCTAGTTTTGCTAATAAAAATGAATCATAACAGCTGTATCAAGAAATATACAAAGTTACTCATACCACTTATGATTGAAGAATTATATGAATTATTGCGCGAAAAAAAGAAGCGTGTGTGGACAAGAAAATGGATTGCAAGAAGATCAGAATTTGGTGCTAGTAGCACACTTTTTAGAGAATTGCAGTGAGGAGATCCTAATGAATTCAGAGCACTTTTGAGAATGGAAGGATGCATTTCAATGCATTATTGGAAAGTCTCACTCCAATGATACAAAAAGAAAATACTGTCATGAGGGAAGCTATACCTGCAAGGATTAAATTACAGGTGGCATTAACATATATTGCAACAGGAGTCAGCTACCGTTATTTACAAGCCTTCTATAGAATATCTCGAGCTGCAATATCGTTACTCATACCAGAGGTAATGGATGCAATATATGTCTATTTGAAAGACTATGTAAAGGTAAGTGATTTTTATCAGGCATTTTTTGAGAGTGAATAGTTTCTTAGATTCTTGGGCTGACATTAAATATAACATAATAGTAAATTCGTTTTATTATGAAAGTAGCAAACATTCAAAATTTATTTCGACATTAAACTTGTTCGTTCCCGATGTCACTGTCACAGGCAGCAGCCATAGCTAGCGTTATAATATCATTCGTGGTGCGAAGAGTGTCCGAATCTGAGGTGAGGTCATCAAATCTGTTTGTCACATGGTCTGTTGACGCAGTGGATGTATAACTAACATCAGTGAAATTTGAAAATACAGAAGATGATCTTTGACGGCTGTTATTCGGCGCAGACTTTTCTCTGTAATCCTTGATGCCGATTTCGCTCAAAAGGCTTTGGATTCGACACTGAGCTAATGAGGCATCTTGTACCAAAAAAGTTTTAAGTTGCGATGCAACACTCTTCCCAGACACGTCAAGAGGGTTTTCTTCTGCAGAATTGACATGCTCATGTAAGCTTTTCAAATCAGAAACCGCTTTGACAATATCCCTACTCCTCTTCCTTGCACGTGAACTATTTCCAATGCTGCTAGTAGAAGCTGATGTAGGTAAATTTGTGGCGTTGGTTTGGGTTACATCAGCTGTAGTAATTGCTTCGATGTCGCGGGATTGTAAGATCACGGAGGGGTCATTTCTTTATGCAATGGTATCTTCAGTACTGAGTCCAAGATAAACCGAAATCCTGTATTGTTTCAGGTACCACAGAACTATGAAGAATGGCAAAAGATAGAAGCAGGCTTCAGAACTAGATAGAATTTTCCTGGTTGCTATGGCGCTATAGATGGGAAGCATGTATTGATTCAAGCACCTCCGAACTGTGGAAGTGAATTTTTGACTACTGTTTCCGTGATGTTAATATCGAAGCAAATGGAAGAAACTCGGACAGTGGAATTTTCAGAAATAGCGCATTATATAGCGACCTTGAAAACAATATGCTACCAACAGGTGGTTTTCTAGTTGGTGATGATGCTTTTGCACTGAAGACATTTTTATTGAAACCATACAGTGGCACAAACCTCACAAGAGTACAAAAAATATTTAACTATCGATTATCCAGAGCACGTAGAATAGTTGAAAATGCATTTGGCATCCTAACAAGCAGATTTAGAATATTTCAAAAACCTATACCAACTGACGTCAACACAACCGATAAGATTATTCGAGCCTCACGTGCTCTGCATAATTGGTTGCGCCTAACAAGTCCCAGTTGTTACTTTCCAAAGGATTGCGTGGACGTAGAAGATATTGACTCTGGAACAATTGTTGAAAGGACTTAGAAACAGGAACTCATAGCCACCTTGCCATCTATCACCAATCACACTACCAATAATTCACCACGAATAGCAAGAAATCTCAGAGATAAGTATGCCGAATACTTTAGTGGAGCAGGTACTGTTGTATGGCAAGATAGAATGATTTCATAGTTGTAACCAAACCAAATAAACTACTTACATTTTCATATGTCTTTCTTTTCAGATCGTGAATAAACACCTCTTCCATTTCCTTCAGCCACTTGATGTTTGAAGTATACACATTACTGAGCCCAGCCCCTGATCCCTTTGAATCATTAATTTTGTTCAGTTCTTGACTGTACGTGGATTTCAAATTTTTAATCTTATTTTTGACTTCTTGCATTCAAAGCCATCATCAAAGCCATCAATATCCATTTCTTCAACTATTACGGCAATTGCAGCATCCCGTTTCTCTTTATTTTTGTAGTCCGTCGACTGGAAATTCCACAAGCAAGAATGGGATTTATATTGTTGGATAAATTTGATTGTGGTATCACAGTCAAATTTATTCTTAGCCATATTTTATTGAAGGATGAAACAGTCAGACCATAAAACTAGACGCAGTTTCGCAGTTGCTTTAGATGGCGAGTGATATAGCACACCGAGAGAGAAAGTAGGGGGGGTGGCGCTCGGTCTAGTAAGTAGAAAAGGGTCCGAGTGACTGTACTAACCGAGTACTAGGCCGAGACCACTGTCTCGCCACTATACTCGTTACATGTAATCAAGGTATAACCGAGCAGTAGGCCGAAAGCACTGTCTCGCTGCTGTACTCGTTATATGTAATCCAGGCATTAGGAGCTGAAAGCCTTAATTCGACGTTCGAGAAAATGATTCGGTTGCATAAAAATAAGTGAGTGGCTTTTCGCGAAGAACGGAGTAAATACTAGCTCTAACATGCCTTAAGTGAAAACTCAATTGAAACAACCGGTGAACAGAAAGTAAACGTCAAATAATGACAGTGACGCACATGGTTGCCACATTAATTAAAACTACTAGATCCGAGGACGTTTTGCAAAATCTATTTTATGACTTCGATTCCTTACCGCAACCATCACATGGAGAGTATGTTTTGTAAACGCTAAAGCTAGTAAAAATTCTATCTACTACCTGATACCTCTCTTTCGGACTGTAGAGGCAATAATGGAGCACCATGATCTCGTTCGGTCTTAAAATATTTTTGCAAAACGCTTAAAAAGACACCTCAAAGTTTTGAAAAAACTTTTTTTATAAAATAACAATGCAAATATTGAGGCAAAAAGAACGAAAATGAAGCACAAATGAACAACAGGCGTTGGCGTAATCACCTAACAAGCTTTGCGTCAATGTCACAACACAGAAAACTGTTACCAACATAAACGTCCCGGGAAATACAAACAATTCGTATCAATTTAGGATCTATTTTGCATTATTAACTGATATTTGTGAAAAAATTTATCGGTTCGATGGATGCACAAACGTTATCGGCAACGGCTATAGGCGAAAAGTATTTTTTCCAAGTTTTGGATTAAAGAGGTACTTATAGATTTTCTGGTCGGGTGCATTGGCGCCCGCCGTACGCAGTAAGTAAACTTAAGTTTGTATGTTACTAAATAAAATTAAACATCTGGTAGTTTCATTTAGATACTTGCTTACATTAGTTAAATTAAATACTTTTTTTTATTCGGCTGGTCAGGTAAAACAAATTTCACTCATTTTACAAAAATGGTGAATGTACAATGTACTTTGTACTATTTATGGTGGTTGTTCTGCTGTCTCATATCGGGACCCCAAACAACACATTTGTAAACAGCAAATTTGTATACATTATAGCAGACAAAGCCGCTTCTAAACATACGTTGTTTACTAGATACTTTCTCGTTATGGATTTTATTTATGCATTCCCAATGTTTATTTGCATTCTCTACCATCGCTTTAAAGCCAGGCTTGGCAAATCGCCGAACAGTCCATCGGTAGTATTGTGACTGTTTAAACTTTCCACTTTTGGAGCATACATGTACATCACGAAAAACCAAACCAATCAATTTCGTCGGTTTGTCTGTCTGTCGATTAGTGTGTCCGATAATCCTTGACCCCTTTATAATTTGCAAAGTACTTGTAGGATTTTGATATTTTTTTCGCAAGGCTACTACTATGCCAAAGACGAAAACGCTTCTGCAGTTTTTGAGAATCAACAGCACACGGAGGCTTCTTACAAAACCCCTTGGCTTTGACATTTTTTCTATTCTATTTCAATGACCTCCTTCCCTGTAGGATCAATCCATTGTTGCTGACAGCACACTATATGCAGGAAGCAGAGTGTCAAGCCGATCTCTGTCGGTGAGCTTTAGAATTGAGGATTAGTAGCGACTTTTTCTCTATCCTGGAGGTTACCACTGCTTGGGGATGCAGCAATCTGGTACAGCTTAATGCTTCCAGAACACGGCACAGCACCTTGACTAGCAAGAAGGCGCCGCGCTCTACCAAAGAGCAGTTCATTTTGATTGGTCGGAGTCCAGTTCACCGAGGACTTGATCTGGCACGAACACATCTCGTCACCCGCGGCAGCAGCTGGTAACAAGTTACGATATTTGTTTAGGGTTAAGAAGCACTTTTCTCCAAATAACGTCCTCATTCTGTATAAGGTCCAGATAAGCTTCGAATACTGTTTTCATCTTTGAGATGCAGCCGTCCCGACTACATTATCCCATGCTCAATGCTCTTCAGAGTAGGGCCGTGGATTGAGCCATGACTATCCTCTAACAGATAGACCCAAAACCTCATTTAGGCTACCCCCACGTGGCTGCACCGGTGTAAAACAAACCTCCCGACTTCGCCGCCTTATACTAATCGAGTCGAACTTTGTTGCAGATACAGAACTGGCCGGTACAACCGCTCCTTTGTCTCTAGTGTTTCTTGACTCTAAAACAGTCTGCCTGAAGACACTTTTCCCAGTTCTACTGACCTTAGGCAGTTCAAAAATGTAACTAACGAAGTATCCTTAAGCTCCTTAAAAATGGAAAAATAGAAACTGATCTCACTTTGTCTTTTGATGTTTTGGACACTATTCATCATTTAAAGAACAAATTTGAGAGTTGGAAACTGTGAATTGGGGGTCTAAGGGAGGGCAAATCTTATATGTATGGTCGTTAAAGACGTTACGTTATCAAGAAGCTTCTGATACCGGTAGGAGACTGAATGGGAAGGAAAAATTCTAATACCTTTTTATAATCTAGTATTATCTAGGTATATCAGTATGCAACTAACCACGTAATTCTAAAATTGTCGATAGGGCTATATGGAAATATGTTTTTGTGAATGATATGTTGATGGTTTTCATTCCTACTACACTTTCTTCCTCATTTATGACCCTTGAGTACCCACTTCGCCGAACCTGAATTTGTGTTTGTATGTGATGCGTTAGCTGATATACGAGTACTCGTACTGAAAAACACATATACCCACATGTCCATATTTCCATAGAAACGAAAATGACTACTGCGGGAGTAATAACAGGAGACTGACTAAGTAGTTCTCTACATGTATATACCCAATTCTTTACAATGTTTCCTGAAGGTGCCAAACCTATAGTATATTCACAAGTTCCTAATACTAATAATAGACTCATGACTTGAATATGATTTATGTAGATATAACGAGGTTTAAGAAAGCAATCATTATTCAACAAATTATATAGCGGCTCAATCCATATGTATGAGAAGTGATGAACTTTGCTACAAGACATCGGTTCGCAACTTTGATGAGAACCTGTGCTTGCATGATCATGTCACTAAAGCTGTTCATGGTTCCTATGCTAAGTCGAAATCAATTTGTAGCTATAAAAATGTATTGTCAAAGCAGACTAAGGTTAAGTTGTGTGATTCCCTTATCCTCAGTAAGCTTGAATACGGAGAACTTTTCTATGGTCCATGTCTTAGAACGAGGCGTATAGAAAAGTGCAAAACAGCTGCATAAAATTAAGTTTAGGTATTCAATGACTTACTATGCGACAAAGTATTTTGGTAAATAAATTGACTATTTATTTAATGAAACAAGCATACCATGAGATGTGATCATCACTCAGCAATCTGGGTCTTGAATGATATACCCTTAACTTACTTCGGCACCAAACAACACATTTCAGAAGGAGCTTTCTATTTTTGGCACCCTATTTCTACACTAAAGTACTACAAGCTTCGAATTCTATGTGTCCAGCTTTAATAGAAAGATTGTGGTCTTCGATAACATATAACACGTACTTTTTATGTACCTTTATCTTTATATTTGTTTATTTGTGCACGTTTTCTCACTTTTATTCGTTTGTGTTTTGTGTACGAGTCTGTTTGCTTTCAATTTCGGTATCTCCTATTATTATCTTTTACTTTTATTTCTAAGCATTGTTTTTGATCTTGTAAAGCACTGTGCTGATGCAGGTTTATTTTTTGTCCATTATTCCATGTTTAGGCTACGATGCTACCCAACTTTTGTCCAACCTTGAATTTTCTTTTACTCTTCTCTTTGTGTTTTTTTTGTATTTGCATCTACTTGTAATTTTTTAGCCCTGGTTGGTTTTAAAAAACAGTATTTGCTGATGTATTATCCTGTAAAACGGCAAAAAGTTGAATTTGGTTATTTTATAAAATCTAACAAATCATTTTTTGACTATGCTCAAAAGGGATTTGTGCACTTCAGATAGTTTTAATAACAAAAAATATGTTAATTGACGTTTGTGCATCGAAATAGCGTAACGATCTGTTCCCTAATCTGTAGTCCCCCCATAACATGAAAAGTACAGTTTTGGTAACATTTTGATAAAGAGTTGTATGTTTTGAAAATTGACTTACTGACGGCGGAGCTATAACACTCACTATAACATGATGTTTCATAAAGCCCTGCCAAGCTTCAGAAATTTTATAAAAGGTTCGAAAATGGGAGTTTGGGGTTGTAAGGTTTGTAAGTGATGCATCTTTGCTATCAGTGAAAAACGTTCCGTTATTAGGAATCGCTGCTATCGGTAGTCCTACGTAACACACTTAGACATAGTAGTCACACTAATTTAGCACTTCAAAATTATGATACATTGTTACTCTGATAAATATACCTAGTCAAGGTTCGCTTTAAAACTTGCTAATCCTAACTTAATTTTCATAACTTTCTTGAGAGACAATGGTGTATGATCGTAAG